CCTCAACATCTTTATCTCTGGTACCTGGTGAACGTTTGGCTAACCTTCATTCATCTCCTTTCCAGGGAGAAAAAAAAGTTAGTAAAAGTTAGTTTGTTGAAGATTTAAAAAAAAACCCCATGGCCCCTATGCTTTATGGTTGTTAGTCTGTCCAACCTGTAGATGATGTTCCACAGATCCAGACCATCATCTCTGTAGTAGAAGTTGGGCAGAAGTTCCAGCCCACGGTCAGAGATGTCGTCTGGCAGACAGAGGGATCTGTAGGTCACAGAGGTCAGCGCTCTTTGCAAAATGGTGAACATGCCTTCACCGCCAGACGATGTGAACCAGGGAGGAGACACAGTCTGTAAGGAGGGTATGGATGTAGTTCCTGACTGTAGTTTTATTCCTTACCTTTTTGAAAACACCGTCATCAGAGATCAGACGCCAGGACATTTATCATCATAGTGTAGCGAACATGAGGCATGAGAAGCTGAAATAGATCAGCTATTAGCAACATCATGGAGTTTCAGTGAAAGCATTCCAACTGATGATCAACCAGTGAGCTTCAGGTACCTTGTGGAGAGGATGCATCATGGGTATGTTGCGCAGTAGAGCCACTGCGAACACCTCAGGCAGCAGGTGGGTGCGCAGCAGGTGGGAACTAAGTTCATGCACGTTAAAATCTGCATTTCTCACAAAGGTTTTTGCCAGCAGCCAGTCCCACTCTGTGTCAGATGGGAGGAAGATGGGATTGTCCTTTCCTGGAGACTGCTTCAGCTGCAGGGGGAGAGCAGGACATGCTCTTCATTCTGCTCCATTTCCTGAGCCATACTGAGCCTTATTAAAGGAACCAGTGCTACATGTAGAACAGAGCAGACCTAACGACCTGCAGTCCAAACAAGTTTAATTTCTCAAACTGCCAATGAAGCTTAAGATAAAACTTCCCTTATCAGAGGTCAACTAACCAGGTCTGTTTGAGTAGTACGTTTTAAGCAACAAGGCATTTCAAAATGTTTTACATCATCAAAACACAAAACCAAAAAGTCACAAGAACATCTGTGACCAATTTGAGGACAAACATGAAATTATATTGAGTGCCATCATCAAAAACATCAATAAGCATCAGAATGTTGGTCAATGTTCAATTAATTATTAACCAGAACCAACTCTACCCATCTGGGATTTAATTAAAGGAACTCAGGGTTTTGGGTCCATCATCCTCGGCTCATTGTTCTTGTTGATAAAATTAAAAAAGTTTGTGAGGAGCAGCATTTTGCCATGTTTATAAAGATGGCGTCCACATCGTCCAAACAGAGGATAGCGCTGCCAGAAGATTCTGTGATTGTCCCACAGCTGGCAGAGCGAACTTTAATCAGCCAGTTACCGTATTAATCGTAGGCAGTCTATCGTATCTTTCATCTCCACATTGAGCTGCTGTATAGGTCCAACTCATAAACACAATTTTTAGCTTCCCAGTTGTGCTAATAAATGACCAATGTCTTTTTTTCCTAAATGTCGTATTTTGCTCCAATGTGAACAATTATAGTTTGAATATTCAGCTGGTCAGTGGTATTTCTCTGTTGTATTAGACACGGTGTCACTGGAGAAAGCAGAGTACTTTTGTTCTCTTAGTACTGCAGAAGTGACTGATTCCGATTACTGTCTCATTACCAACCATAAGCAATGTTTCATACTTTTAGAGGACTCCTTCTACACTAATGATTTATGATGTGAAACCATTTTTATTTATTGCAGCAGCAGAATATCTAACTGAAACTTTGCAAGCAAACCAGAGTCTTGAAAATTTTTTATTTATTGCTTTTATTTAAATGGGACAGTTCATATTAATGAACGTACAATGTTCTAAACATGTCAAATATAGCAAAATGCTACTTTAAGTTGGCTAAGATCCATTGTTCGCAGCTAATTGGGAATCAACCATGCTGTAAGCTGCCTGGACAGACAGGAGGCACTCATTAATTGTAGCAGGCAGTGTGTTTTAACAGACAGAAGTTCTGTGAAAATTAAGACTATCTAAATTGAAGATCACAGCTCCCCCCCAAAGGGAGTAAACCTTTTTGTTTTTATTAACATTCTGTAGGGACGGTGGGCCCTTATAAACTTAGAAGAAAGACAGTCACTTTTAAATAACTGTAAATTCTCAAAATATAAACATTTATATTTGTCTAAAATTAGGCAAATATGATTTGGCTGTTGCCCTGCAGTGGACTGGCGACCTGTCCAAGTGACCCTGCCTCTCACCTATTGACCTCTGGAGATCGGCACCAGCAGCCCTGGTGACCCCAGCAAGGAGAATCGTAGTAAAAAATGGATGGATGGGTGATGTGACTGTGGCTGTCCAGACCGTCACCAGTGACCAAATTTGGGCGACTGCCTCACCTGAATTGCAATGGGCATCAGTTTGTCATCAGAAGTTTTGTGCAGCAGAACAAGAGGAGCCACCAGGTACTGATCCTTCCCTTTTATGTTGTTTGGCTTCACTCCATCCAAGATCTTGTAGTCACACAAAAAGATGTTGCCTTTCTGTTTGGAAATTTCAGCAGAAAGTTAGTTAGCAGGATGTTTAACAGTCTAAAAACATGGATGACCATCAGTTAGCTACCTCCATCTCCTTGGTCAGTTTCTGGTTCTGGTTCTTGAAGACCATGTCATCAGTGACAGGAAAGTTCCTAGGCAAAGTTTTGCAGCGACGGATCATCATCGGATTTACTCCGTTCAGAAACTGGTAGCCAAAGAAGGAGTTGTCCTTCCAGTGCTCATAGACATAATCTGGAAAAAAAAACAACTAATGTTTTAACAATGACCCTCCATGCTGTCTGAATCTGATCAACCTGCAAAGTACAGAATGCCAAAGGTAGCTAAAGGTTCGAT